TCCATCTGCCCGCCTCCTTTGTAGAGCCATGCAGCACAACCCACTTTCCTGCTGGAAGGTGAGTGGCGCGGCAGGCAGCTGCTCCAGGCCGGGGCAGGCTGAGGCCGTGTGGTGGGTTGACCAAGGGTGAGGGGGCCAATTGAAGCCTCATGGTGGTGGTGGGGCCACTCCAGTGGCAGAGGCCTGCTCTGGTGGGGTTCCAGGGCCTGCTACGTAGAGTGGGGACCAGGGCCTGCTTTGGTGGCCAGGGCCTGCTCCACTGGCTGGGGCCATGTGGCAGAAGGGCCGGAGCCTGCTCCAGCTGCATGGCGGGGGGACTGGGGCCACATGGCAGGAGGGCTGCTTCAGTGCCTGGGGCTACTCCTGGGGCCAGCTCCAGCCCTGGGAAAGGGGGCTGGAGGTGTGGCCAGGTCACAAAGTGGTTTACCAACTGCTCCCTGGGCAGGCCACATAGCGGCTGCCCAAAAGTGGAGTCAGGCTGGGGCTGGAGCCCCTACATCTCTCTTCCCCCACACCTCTCTTTTGCCCCTCAGAGTCTGCTGCCCCCCCAATCTTGTGTCCGCCCTCCCACTTCCACGTCGCTGCCCAACCCCCAGCACTTTACTCCCTGCAAACTCTGGGTGCTGGCAGCAGCTTCCCTCTGTCCCGGATGGGGACTCTCAGCAGCCACACAAGGAGCACCCTGGGGTAATCTCTGCCCTGTGCACAGGCTGCCCAGGGAGCAGCGCTCCCTGGGTGGGGGCATGTCTCCCCTTCTCCACATGAGATGGGGGGACCCTACCTTGGAGAATCTCTTGGGGAGCATTGCCACTGTGGCACACATTCGAACAACTCGTGGCACACAAGACAAAACTCACTCAGCTCATGGACAGAAAATCTTAGCGGGACCACTGTAGCACACCCAGGCCATTTCTCTCCTGCACCCTCCTCCCTGGCCACGGGGGCCATTTCTCCCCCTGTCCAGCCACCAAGGGCCTTTTCTCTCCCCCCCAGCCTCCCTGAGCCTTTTTTCTGCCCCCAGCTCACAGCCTCCATAGGCCTTTTCTCTACCTCTCCCCCCTGGTGCTGCAAGGGGGGGTGGGAAAGGGTTTGGAGAAGGGGTGCTACTTACCAAGTGTGTTGGCAGGCAAGATGGCAGAGCCTCAGCCCTGCTGGCCATTCTTGGAGGTACGGCTGCAAATATTTACCAGCAGCCACACACCACAGATATACTCACTCAGAAACTTACCCCTGCAATAAACCCTGTTGCCAACTCTGTCCTCATATCTATACAAGCAACATCATCACAGGACCTAACCACGTTATCAAGGGCTCATACTGCATCCTCTAATGAGATACGATATCAAGTACCAGTACTGCCCATCTGTGGCATAGTGGGGGTGCTGTCTGCTCTGTAACCTGGGATCCCCCTGCGCTGTGATGTGTTTTTCCCACTAACTCATCCAAATGTGTATTAAGTCAGACACCTGGGCTCAGCCTGAGGCGAGATAACAGGGGATTCCCAGGAGGAGGGATAAAGGGAGAGAGGCAGAGACCAACAGGTGGCTTCGGGGAAAAGGGAATGTCAGTTGCTGGCTGGGAAACAGGAGGGAATGAGCCTAAACTGGGGGCTGAAGGTCTAGGGGGGTGATGGACCATCCTAACCCAAGGGATCTGAGGCATCCTGGCCCAGGCTCCTGTAGCAGTATCACGACTATGCTGTGCTGTATCCTGGAGAAGCAATAAACCCTGCATTCTACTGGCTGGTGGAGTCTGGTCTTGCTGCAGATGGGGGTGCAGGATTTGGGGGGAATCCCAACTGCGCTGTCACTCCTTCTGCAATGTATTTTGCCCAAACTGGACAGTCTCTGCAACAAAGGACTAATGAACACAAATCAGACATAGGGAATGGTAAGATACACAAACCTGTAGGGGAACATTTTAATCTCCCTGGTCATTCAATAATGGATTTAAAAGTAGCCATTTCCTACAAAGAAATTATATCACCCAATTACAAATGGAGACTGCTGAACTGTAATGATTTACAAATTCAACACTATCCACTTGGGCTTGAATAAAGATATTAACTAGTTAATGCATTGCAAAGGTAATTTCCCCTGCCTTTGATATTACCTGCACATCAAAAGCTATGAATGGGACACATTCAGCCTGACTCAATTAACATTATTGAGTTACAATTCATATAACAGCAAAAGCAGTTACCTGTATTCTGGATTCTGTAATTTCCACTCCAACTCATCTGATGAAATGGGTTTTACTCACGAAAGCTCATGATATATTTGTTAGTCTCTAAAATGCCACTGGACTGCTCGTTGCTTTTATAATTCACAAAGTAAGTCAACCCAGATATGTTGCTTGGGAGTTGAAAAATCCACATCCCTGAGTGACATAGTTCAGTGGATTTCACTTCTTGTACTGATAGCACTACGTTGATAGAATTTTTCTGTTCTTTGTACTGCCTCTTACAGAGGTAGATTAACTAGTTATGGGAGAATGCCTCCCCTTGCTGTAGTGAATATCTACACAGAGGCTGGCCCCTATAGTGGAACAGACAAGTTAAGCAACAAGCTCAACCTTAAACTCCAGTCATTTTCACTTTGGCATATTTGAAAATTTTCCCAGGATGACCTAAAATAATCTATTTTTTAAAATCTGATTACTACAGTTAATCCCTCTATTTAATAAACCATTTAATTGTAAATGTGAAACATGTCTTGATAAGAGAAGATTATGCATCCAAAACATTTACAGTTGTTTAATATAAGTTTTACATGCTGTTTTGTGTATTTAATTACATTCAAGTCACCATCCTACCACAGCTTGCCACAAAACTTATGAGCAAAGGGCCATTTATCCAGTAAATAAGCAATAGTGTTTATTTTTGACTTATTAAAATAGTTAGCAAGACTCTACGGGTGTGTCTAGACTGGCCACTTGAATTTGCACAAGAGCACTGACATTCTAATGTAATTCAGTGCTTCTTGCGCAAATACTTTGACGCTCCCGCTCAGGAATAAGCCCTCTTGCGCAAGAATACTTGCACAAGAGGGCCAGTGTAGACAGGCACCTTAATTTTTTGCACAAGAAAGCCCGATGGCTAAAATGGCCATCAGAGCTTTCTTGCACAAAAGCGCATCTATACTGGGCACAGATGCTTTTGCACAAAAGCACTTTTTGCGCAAAAGCATCCATGCCAATCCAGATGTTCTTTTGCGGAAATACTTTTAACAGCAAAACTTTTCTATTAAAAGTATTTCCCCAAAATGATGCCAGTCTAGATGCAGCCTACAAGCATATGCAGTTGCTTAGATGAGTGTACACAGCGTACCCTCCTAGCTAGCAAACACAAGTACCAAATCTCAGGTAAAAGCGACGAGGAGTCCTGTGGCACCTTATAGACTAACTGAAGTGTAGGAGCATAAGCTTTCGTGGGCAAAGACCCACTTCGTCAGATGCATGACGAAAGCTTATGCTCCTACACTTCAGTTAGTCTATAAGGTGCCACAGGACTCCTCCTCGCTTTTGCAGATTCAGACTAACACGGCTACCCCTCTGATAAATCTCAGGTAAAGTCTCTAGTTAGCTGTAAAGCAACACTTTTCAATGCTTGTAGCCGCTAGTGAGAATACTTTTTCAAACGTGTGAACTACAAATGGAGAAGCTGATCAAAACTGAGCCTATAACACGAGGCTCGCCTGCCCTGCCGACAAGCTTTATGCAGAGTCGCCCCTGCCCGTATTTGTACCGCACAGTGCGACACTGGCGCAATGTTTTCTACCCCCTCCCCCGAGGGCGCTAAAACGCCCAGCGCCCTACGGCAAGAGTACGGGCTCGCCGCCAGCACGCCCTGAGAGAGCGTCTCCTTTCAACACGTAAACCCCGCCCGCGGCTTCAAAGCCCCCTCCTTGGGCTGTCCGCGCCGTTGCCTGTTTTGAATCGATGCCAGGTCTGTAATAGGGCGCTGCCCAGCGAATGGGACGCAGGAGGACTGACTCAATGACACCCCCCATCCTCCTTAGCCGCTGTTGTGTTCCTACCCCCGCTGCTCTCTAAACAGGCAACTTATGGGCAGCCCCGGAGGTCCCCCCCAGTTAAGAGAAGCCGGGAGGCCCCGCCTCCTTCCTTTCGGCCTGAGGCGCC